GAACGCTCCAAAGAATAGGATAAAGAAGAAAGAGAGAAAGATTATTTGTTTGGCGGTCTATCGCATATGCGTGTATCAACCCAGGAATCGAGATTCAATCCTAGCTTGAAAAGAAACATTTGCAGCAAAAATGATGTTTAGTTTAACTTTTGTATGATATTTCCTTGATATATCAATCCGGAAAGTACTGAAACTACAGTGAATTTTATTTCAGGCCTACATGTATCTAGAATATAAATGTTCCTTTGGTCGGAGGGCACAAAAATTATGCAAGTGTATTTTCTTACATTTCCTGACGATAATTTATTACACACCCTAATAATGAGCAATTATTTGTAATTTGACCAAGTAGATAAAGAGGTCATGTGCAAGAGTGTTCACCCCAAGTTTGCAGATTTAAGATAGCGAATACGGTTACGATAATTTATACACTTGTAATATGAACCTAGTTGCTGGCGATACATCTGGATCGAATCTGGAGGTGAGCACATTCGAATAATCCCGCGGAGAAGCTCTTACGGCTCAGAACTTATCGCCGATCTTGTAGATGGAATCTTTGTCAAGTTAAAAACCAATATTGATACTAACCTTGGTTCCTTTAAGAGCAGTATTCATTTCCAAAGTATCATTTCCGGATAAGGATATCGTATCCTTTCCGGATACCTGTGGACATAGCCTTATTATTTCCTAAGAATTTATGATTGCTTGACACGTAATTGATTTAGGTAAACTTAATTACTTTGCGTCTTCATACCCAACCAAGTTCTGTGGAATCCTATCGTCTTTGTTGTAGAAATGGAAATATTTTACCGAGTTTTTCATTAGGTGACAAATTGTATCAAAGTGTTGTACTTAAGAGGGGGGACGGGGAGATGGGGAGACGATGTTAACTTTGACAATTTACGATAAATCCTTCTCGATTTTGATGGTTGATTGTTTAATTCTAGGTCCTTGACAGTTGACTTTTAGTAGGAAGATTTCTCTTTTTTAACATAAATAATTTCTCCAGTGATTTTCAGATCAAGCATTTCTCTAGAGAAATGCATTGAGGCCTAAGTCGAAGACCTTTCACAATTGTTAGATGCAAACAATATCTTAATTCCTGAAAGCATAGTCACAGAATCAGGTAACGAAAGAGATTAAAAGCTGCGGAGGATTACCGTACGTGAACACAGGCTCGCGCCCGTGCACTCTCCTGCTCAAAAATTAATGGAAAATAAATGGGAGAGTTGAAAAATAAATAAACCCCGTTCTGGCTTGCTGGTATGTCGGATGATAATGTCCTTGGCTAAGAGATTATCCTAAAAATTTGATATTTGCCCTCGAAGCTTCTCTTCTCGGCTAAATATTCATTTTTCGGACAATCTCTCAGCCGCGGACATTATCAGCCGACATACCACCCGCCGACCCGAAAAGGTTTATTTACTAAATACCACAGGGATTTTTAAAATGAAGAATTGAATGAGGGACGGTGAACGGTGTACAATTATGATAGATTCTGGAGAGAAAATGCATAAATTTTTCAT